GGGACTGGTGGTTCCCCGGTTGGTAACAATGTTAGCCACTGATCATGTTGATCATCATTTATGTTGACCTGCTTGTTAGAAGTGATTTTGCTAATAATTCCTTATTATGAATTACAGAAGCTTTTGCATATTTCTGAATAAAATTCGGAATGAGTTGTTACTCAATAGGAAAGCATCTGTTCAGATCCAGAAATAGCTTCTGACCAATAGATTCTGTAGAGCATGCCATACTTGCTAAAAATTATAAATCACTGTGAATAAATACAGAGGCTAGATTTGCAAAGTCGTCAGGTACTAAAAAACTTTTCTTTTTGGTGGAGCCAAATTGCTATTTGGAATTCAAATCAAACAGGGAAAAAGAGTAATTGCATTCTGCATTAAAATACTATCTTTTAATGGGTGCTAAGTACTAAATGAGAAGTTTTAATCCCTTGCCCCCCTGTATTCTGGTTTTATTACAGGTCCCTGCAATGCAGAATGCAGTAAAGTAGGGTGTGATGGGCCAGGACCAGATCATTGTACTGACTGTCTGCACTACTACTACAAATCTAAGAACAATACACGGTAAGACCAAGAGAAAAAATCTTTACCTACAGATTTCTTAGTGTGTATCTTAACTTCTTTTCCTCTTCTCTTTGCTGCAGTCATGGAAAATTCATTTTCCACTGAATTTGACAGATTTTCTTAGGAGCTGAAAAAACAAAAGCTCTAGCTAGTCAGTATTTAAAATACAGCCTTCAAACACCCTTCTCTAATTATTTTCCCATCTCTTGATTATTTTTACATAAGAGGCTATATATATGTATCTGTGATAGCTATTACAGCTTCTGTGATTGAGTTTGAATAAGATAGGAAGAAATGTAGATGGTCAAAAATGATACTGTATGACTGTCTGACAAGGCATTTGCCAGTGAGATAGTATATGCGGTAGGGAAATAAATGGAAGGGAAGGGGCAGCTTGATGCAATGCTTTGGAGGGTTACATCTTAGTAAACATGTGATCATTAGAAAAGCAGCAATGCTAAGAAATACTTCTGCTTTGCAGTCATAGTCCAGGAATGTGGTGGCAGGTTATTTCATTAACGACTCTGCCTTCTCTTCCCTGCTGTCTGCAGGATCTGTGTTTCGACCTGCCCACCTGGTCACTACAATGCAGACAAGAAACGCTGTAAAAAATGCTCACCCAATTGTGAAACCTGTGTTGGAGGCCATAGTGACCAGTGCATGACCTGTAAATCTGGCTACTACCTGAATGAAGTAACCAATAGCTGTATTACCAACTGCCCTGATGGGTTTTACCTGGATAAGAGTTAGTATTTCTTGTTGTTTCTTTATTCTGGGCTACAGAATTTGGTCTGGGGAGGTTGCTGGAATACTTAAAAGCAGGAAAAGTGTATGTTGATGCATCTCTCTCTTATTCTATTCCTCTTATTGAATTGTTGCCAAGTTCCTCAAAAATCTTCCTTTATAAAAAACATGCTTAGTGGCAGGACATCTTTTCCACTTGTGGCTAGGAGTAACAGTAACAGAACAAAGGCAGTTCAAGAGCAAGTCAGCTGCAGGACAGAGCAGGTTATCACTACTCCAGGAAGGGACAGGCAGCGCCCACATTCTGAACATGAGGCATTCCCCATTCCCCCAAATTCAAATACCGTACAAGATAGAAGAGAAAGCTGAGGAATCAACCATTGCCACTGAACTGCAGCTCCAAGAAAAATAGGCTCCTCAGATGTAAAACATGGTTGCAATTAATGTTTCTGACAGACCTAAGTACCTGCAGTGATGTGATGACCCAAAAGCAGTAATTCTCTGCCACGTGAGACACCTGCCTTCAGTTTCCTCCTGTGATTGCCAAGTAGACTGCCCATGTTTAGTTTCCAGCTTTGGCTAGCAAAAATACTTAGACATATACTCAAACATGTGCTTAAATCCTTAGAAGATAAATATGTGCTCAGGAGCTTTGTTCATCTAGGTTTTGTTCATCACATTTTGCTTTCTGCATCATGAAGCTGTGTGATCAGTTTTGAGGATTAGTAAAAACAGGTACTACTTTAATTCTTCCATTTTTAACAGTGTGAGAACTACAGTAAAGAGAATTCCTTTCCACCCGATTAGATGGATAGATGAAAATTTAGGATTAAATTGGAACATGGGGTTTTTCTTCTCAGAAAGGTAGATGGCACTGCATCTCAAAAGACAGAAGGTCTGAAGTGAGAGAGACATCTCTTAAAGTAGAGAGCTCTTGAGATGAAAAGGCAGGTGTTAAGTAATTTATGTGTTGACTTTGTTAAGATCAGACCTGTTCATGCAGGTGTGTCTTTAAGCACCAAATCAGGTAAGACAGGACAGGCTGCTTGCATGGGAAGTTTAAGAGGTAAATTGCAAGGCAGTCTTTAGAACACATGGCAATCATTACTGCATATCACTGCTGTATGAAAAGATTATTTTCCATATTATAAATAGTTAATGTAAATGTAAAATGTTCATGAAGTTTTTTTAATGATCTCAAAGCATGTTTTTCTCACGGTACAACTCTAACTTCAAATGTTTAGAAATAGATTAAACCATTTGATGTTTGATGGAAAAAGCCAATAACAGGCAGAATTTAGCTATTTTAGTCTAGCTTGCTGCTTCTCTTCCTGATGTCAAGCTAGAAAGCAATAAATCATGTAATAATATATCCATATAGTTTTATTAAACATAACTGACCAAGGTTTTCTGGGCTGTTTTCTTTTTTTCCTTTGTAGATAAGATTGTTTGCCGAAAATGTAGTGAAAACTGTAAGACATGTGTTGAATTCCAGATCTGCACAGAATGCAAACATGGCCTAAGGTAAGGAAATGATGGATCTAGCTAAACACAATGCCTGAAGAGGCTTACAAGGCTGTGGATACACAATGAAGAACATCAGCTATTTAACCTTGAGTGGCCCTCATTTCATGTGTTCTATCACTGTTTAGTTTTTTCTTGTGCTACTATGTGCTAGTTTGGCTAACAATGGATTTTTAGAAGACCTTTCATTTCAGGTAAAATAAAAGCCGCAGTCATGTGGAAAGCTGGCTTCTTCACTTTTTTGACCTACAGTGTGGCAGTCAAGGATTATTTTAGAGGTAGAGCTGATGAATCATATTAATCTTTCTGATTCATTCCTGTGATAGTTAGAAACTATTTTCTTATCTTTATTGTATTTCTTCATACATCCAGTCATTCACTTATCTCAAGTACCTCAGGCTCAATTCTATTACAATATAGTGTGCACATACTTTAAACAGCAGTGGATATTTTTTCTTCGTATGGGGGACTTTCATTCTTGAAACTGATAGGTAAAACCTACAAAGCAGCAGTACATATTTCAAGCTCTTTTATGAATGAATGACCTTTTGATCCAAGCAACAGAGGTCAAAAATCTTATAAAACTGATGACAGAATGCATGCTGGCTTTATGCCACAAAAAATATTCCATATTTAGTATCTGTGGGGTTCTTACAGAATGCAAGTGTTCTGCAAATGTTTTAACACTGAGCTTTTACTTTCTGTCAAAGTGGATTTTCATCTTTTAGTAAAAGCTGAATATTGTTTGTTTCTAGGACATGAATAACTGGATTCCTTTACATTTTGTAAAGGTATTCTCATTTCTGTGTATTTATGTTACATCTAGATTTTCCAAGTGCCTGCACAATTTTTATTACAAATATCTTATTTTTTCAAAAGTGACCCTTTGAAAAGGAAGTGTGATCTAATGGGAAGGAAAACATCAGATCATATCACAACACTGGTCTATTTACACTGTCTGTGAAATATGAATATCCGCTTCCCTTTTAAAATGTAAATCTGCAGTCCGTGTTAAGATTTTGGAGAATTTTAATAGACTCAGCATGACCTTCTGTGTATCTGTAAAATCAAATAAATAAATTAGCAGTTTAGAAGTTCCTACAATGTCAAATATGTCAAGACACCAATGATTACATAGATCTGTGACCTTAGAGGACACAGTTGTTACAAAAAAGTTATGGCCACATTTTCTTTATTTCTCAGGAACTGAGTTTCCCTGTCCATTAAAACAAACAGCAACTTGTAGCACCACTGAAGAAAGTAGACAAGTAGACAGTGTGAGAAGAGAAGAAGAAATTGAAATATAAAAAAAAATCAAAAGAACCCAAGCTTCATGTTTTGTTGGGCAATATTAGCAAACTGAGATTGATTTTTGGTAACATTTTCAAAAAGTAGCCTGTGAGGGTGTGACGGATAAATGGAGCCTTGCAGGACATGCATTTCATATTCTCCAGCTGTTCGAAACTTGCTGCGTTTTTTTGGCAGAGTTATTGATAGGCAGGGCCCTGGGTGGGACTTGCGAGACCTGGATTCCAGTTCTGAGCCTGTTACTGGCCCATTAAATAAACTTGGGCAAATTATTAGTTTTCTCATCTGTAAAAACATGATAATGCTACCTGCATTGTAAAGCACTTTGAGGTGTGTGGCTGAGGAAAAAAAAGTAAGAAAGCAGGGGTTGTTAAGTGTGTTGCTGCTAATTTAATTTTTTTTCTAAATTCGGACCATATACACTCTTGAAAATTTCCAGCGGTGCTGAGCACACACAAATTTTGCTGGATCCAATCTGTAAACCAGGGTTAGCACTCACCCAGGGTTGCAATCCCCAGAGCTGAAGAGAATTTTTAGAGAAAGAGTTGAATTGGATGAAAGCTGAGGTTCCACAGAAGATGGCAAACATGGCAGAGAAGTCCTAGCTTAAAAAAAAACCAAACCGGCTGTAGACACCCTATAACATGAACGCATAAACAGCTACTTAGAGGGAAGCACGGAAATATGGCTATGCTATTTCATTTTCCTCTGTTACTCACTCTTTTGTGCTCTCTTTCAAAAGTGCCTGAAGGCAGAATACTGCAACCTTGACAATCTCCCTGGCCACTCAGAGCTGGCATTCAGTTAGGAGGTTGCAAAGGAAACTGCTATTGCAGAAAGAGGTGGTGATTTCCTTCACTGTGAATCTATTCTTAGCCTGTGCTATAGCATAGTATCAGGAGATGCTGCTGGTCTTTCAAGAGAAGCGTGAGATCTTGTTATCAAGTCCCTCAGCACTTTTTTTACTACAGTGGTGCTGACCCTGTGCCAAATTCCTCGTGGGTAATTGCGTTTTACATGCCTGAATTTTTAGCATTTTTGGCGTTCTCCATTTTTTTTATGTCCCCTACTACTTGGTAGCATTTACAATGAGTTTGTAAGCAGTTTCTGTATTTCACCATGGGCAAAACTGCATTTCATTCCCACTTGAACTGATATCTGCCTCTAAATTTGTAAAATATGACCAATGAAGGAAGCTGGTGAATCCTAATATATGTGTTGTTCTTTTAATAAAAGAGAACTACAGGTTTGTGCATGACCTTGTTGTCCTCTCTTGTTGTTATCTGCCCAAACACTGTGCCTTTTTCCTTTTTACAATAGTTTGCATGGCACTAAATGTGCTATCCGCTGTGAAGAAGGAAAATACCATAATGGTAGAGAATGTGAACCATGTCACCGTTCCTGTGCAACGTGTGCAGGTACCCCACTGACATTTATCTGCATCATTTCCTTTCCTCTGTATTTTTAGCTCTGATTTTATTCTACTATATCACAGTTACAGTATAACATGATTTTTCACTTGTAAAAACTTAATTCTCGTGATAGTTCTTGAATATATTTTAAATGCAGCAGACTTCTTTTAGCTAACATGAAAATCTAAGTTTTCTAATTGAAAGTGTGCATACACTCTGTTTTCTTTTCTTTTTCCTTTTCTTTTTTCTTCTTTTTTTTTTTCCTCTTAGTAGAGCTTATTCTGATTTCCAGTAATGCCCTCCATTTTCTTTCTGGGTTGGAATAATGACTCATAGATTTTGTGCGAGCTTTAGAACTACCAACAGGCATTTCTTTGAGAAAAAGATATACTGAAATTATGTAATTTTGTTTATTCTAACCATGTACCATTATTGCTTGATGTTACTGTCTGAAAGAAAGTAAGGCAGGTAAAACATAGCCTCTAAAATGGTAAGATTTTGCAGTTAGAGGTGGTGTCTGTTAGGCAATAAGAGGAACTAGCCAGTATGTCCTGGCTTTAGTTGGGTTAGAGTGAATTTTCTTCCTAGTAGCTGACATAGTGCTGTGTTTTGGATTTAGGATGAGAATAATGTTGATAGCACACTGACGATGAGGGCTGGAGCACCTCTCCTTCGAGGCCAGGCTGAGAGAGCTGGGGTTGTTCAGCCTGGAGAAGAGAAGGCTGTGAGGAGACCTTATTGCAGCCTTTCAGTACTTAAAGGGGGCCTACAGGAAAGATGGGGAGAATCTTTTTAACAAGGCCTGTTGTGACAGGACAAGGAATAATGGATTTAAACTAAAGAAGAATAGATTTAGACTAGACATAAGGAAGAAATTTTTCACAATGAGGGTGGTGAAGCACTGGAACAGGTTGCCCAGAGAGGCAGTGGAGGCCCCATCCCTGGCAACATTCAAGGTCAGGTTGGACGGGGCTCTGAGCAACCTGATCTGGTTAAAGCTGTCCCTGCTCACTGCAGGGGGGTTGGGCTAGGTGACTTCTAAAGGTCCCTTCCAACCCAAAGCATTCTATGATTATATGATTCTATGATGTTTTAGTTGTTGCTAAGTACTGCTTACACTAGTCAAGGACTTTTCAGCTTCCCATGCTCTGCCAGGTGCACAAAAAGCCTGGGAGGGGGCACAGCCAGGACAGCTGACCCAAACTGACCAAAGGGCTATTCCATACCATATGATGTCATGCTCAGTATATAAACTGGGGGGAGTTGGCCAGGGGGCAGCGATTGTTGCTCAGGAACTGGCTGGGCATCAGTCAGTGGGTAGTGAGCAATTGCATTGTGCATCACTTGTTTTGTATATTCTTTTATCATTACTAGTATTGTTATTACTTTCTCTTCTTCTGCTGTCATATTAAGCTGCCTTTATCTCAACCCACGGGTTTTACTTTTTTTCCACAATTCTCTCCCCCATCCCACTGGGGGAGCAGAGGGGAGGGTGAGCGAGCAGCTGTGTGGTGCTTAGTTGCCAACTGGGGTTAAACCATGACACAGTAATACAGTGTATTTTCTCTCTGGTTTAAGGTGCTGGAGTAGATGCCTGTATAAACTGCACACAGGGTTATTTTATGGAAGATGGAAGATGTGTACAGTCCTGTAGTAGCAGTTATTACCTTGATCACTCTACTGAAAGTGGATACAAAAGCTGCAAAAGGTGTGTCTGATATTTGGCAGTATATTAGCTATTACTGTGTTGAAAAAGATAATACTTATGAGAACATAAAACACTGCTGACTTTAAAAAAATAGGAAAAATATATTGCATGCTAAGCAAATTAAGGAAAAGCGGTTTTTATTTTAATCTGAGTTACATTCATGCAGGTTTTCTAAAAGTGTTTTTTCTTGCACATATGTGTGTCCTTCGCTTTAAAAAAGCCTGTAGTGAGAATATAAGTAGGTATGCATAGAAATGTGACATTTACAAACCTAGCAGAGGATTTGCATGTCAGCAACAAACCAAAATAGTCAAGCTAGTTTTTTTAAATTGCTAGTTAATTACTATCGGTAAGGACCATTTCAGTTCTTCAGTTGCATATTCACAAACATGGCACAAGTATATTACCAGACTGCTGTCCAGAACAGCTCACCTGAGTCAGTGTACAAATGGGGGGATAAATCTTGAACAAGGCTTTGCTGTGCTGTGCTGTGCAAGGAAGGGATATTTTTTTCTATGCCATTTTCTGTTAAAGAAATACCATTTGTTGCCCTTCAGAATCATTTATTATTGACTCACTTTGAGTTCAGGGCAGGAAGGGAATCACCATGTGTTACAGTTTTCCACACAAAAAAATAGTCAACACACAATGAAAATATGATGGAGCCAGAAGGATGATGAAAGGACTGGGCAGCAGGTCAGTCTTTACCATCCTGTGGCTTTAGCTCATGCCTTGCTGGCTCATGTATACACGATCAGCTTACTACTTTTGTTGATTACTTCTGCATAGTTCCAAAATACTAGAATAATGCAGCCATTTAGTAAAAAAGTGTGAATAGAAAGTGATTGGAGGAACGAAGCAGGACTGGGTTGCCAGGGGAGTTGTTTTTTTTTTATTATTATTATTATTAT